ATTGGTCTTCAAGATGATTCTCTTGATTCTTCAGAAGAGAGACTACTCACTAGTTAACAACAGACTGATACAGGCATTGTAGTTGACCTGATGCTTGCTTTTGAGCTGAAGTACTGGTTCCCATGAAATATTCTGTGACACTCAGTATGTTTTGAAGAGGGAAGTTTTTTAAAAAGAAGGGAAAAAAGCCCATTCTGTTCTTCAGGCTCAATTTAGTTTAATCAGCATTTTGTCTTCTAACTAAGTTTTCCACTGTTCACACAGAATTTAGCCGTTACCATTTCTATTATGTCACTAACTCTCTCTATATATGTATAGATAAATGTATATTTACATGTATTTTTATATGTTAAGAATTATGCTTATCAAGGTATCTACTGTCTGCTAAAGTTCATTTACTAAAGGAACTTGCTATTTGTATAAAATGACAAAATTCAATGGAATGAGAAAATATTTTATTTTTATGGAAATTTGTGAACTAGTGATTGGTATTTATAGCTTATGTGGCTGATAAGAAATTTAAGTATCTTAATTATAAGATTACAGTAGATTGATAATTAGACATGATATAATGTCTAATTAGTAGTTCATTATGTCTTTTTGACTGTGATGCATGTTGAAATCTAAGAAATAAAATAGTTTAATATTTCCTCTATTATAGGTAGCTTGCATGCAGCTCATCAATGCTCTCGTTACATCTCCTGATGACTTGGATTTTAGGCTTCACATCAGAAATGAATTTATGCGCAGTGGATTGAAAGAGATATTGCCAGTAAGCATCTTCTAGTTTCTCTTTGCATTACTATTTAAATTATTGGACTATTTGAGCTTGAGAGGAGGAATGGGAGAACAAGTTCTAATAAATTATTCTCAAAGACATTTTGTTAAGTCTGGGCATGAGCAGTTAGATATGAGAATCAGTCTTAAAATAAGAATGAAAAGGTGCAGTGTGCTCTCTGAACTTCATGCTGATTCTTCAACATTTTAGGACTTTGATTTAGAACATGTGACATGTTTACCTTTTGAATATTTAACTCGTGTTCTTGTAATTTTAAACTTAAAAATAACAGAGACTTATTGAAGTTATTAAAAAGATAAGGTTTATTTACATATGGAAACACTAATTTTGCAAGCCTTTCTACTGTTTCTTCATTGCAGCAATTGAAATGTATAAAGAATGAAGCACTAGATATTCAGCTGAAAGTGTTCAATGAGCATAAGGAAGAAGACATGATAGAATTCTCTCATCGTTTAGAAGATATTAGATCTGAACTAGAATATCCTTTTGATATCAGCAAGAGAAACATGAACAAAATTAAGTGTATAAAGGACATTTTTCTGGTATAATTTCTTTTTAAAAAAGTTATCAGCCGATATTTGACTGAAATATTTTTTTCCTTGCTATTACTCTCCTTAACACTTTCACTGAAGTAAATGATGTGTACAACATGGTGTGGAATACAGTTAAGGACACTAGCGCTGAAGGATATTTTCTTTCTATTCTCCAACATCTTCTGCTGATAAGAAATGATTATTTTATACGGTATGTTTAATGCTATGTTAAATGTTAATTATGGATTTTGTTGTTATTTAGTCATTAATAGAATATTTCTTCCATAAATTTAATGATAAATACAATTTAGTCTTTTTCTGTGCAGATTGCAATTCTTAAGTATTCCTTTGTGAACTCATGATCAAAAGTATCAGCTTTGAATAAGAATGCCATCTATGTTTTTGTCATCTGCTTAGGATACAATTTTATATCATAGAATCATAGAACACTTTGGGTTGGAAGGGACCTCGAAAGGTCATCTAGTCCAACCCCCCTGCCATGAGCAGGGACATCTTCAACTAGATCAGATTGCTCAGAGCCCCGTCCAAGCAGACCTTGAATATTTCCAGGGATGGGGCATCCACCACCTCTCTGGGAAACTTGTTTCAGTGTTTCACCACCCTCAGCGTAAAAAATTTCTTCCTT